TTGCACGAGAGAGTTTGTGCGTACCGCAAAATGACGCGGATAAAGCGAGCGTTACGAAATTGCGCGCTTCAACGTCGCGGCAAATACGGCTAGCATCGATTTTCGGGACGATAAGAACTGTGTACAGCGTCGCATGAATTTTACGACTCCGCTTGCTTGATATGCGTAGTTTCAATCTCGTAATCCCGTTACTATTAAAATCCCCGGATTTTCCTCGTAAATCTTTCGGTTTCCGCATCTACACGATGGAAATTAAAAAGTCTAAGCAAAGACGAACGCGATTTTTCAGACATAGGAAAGCCAATATTTTAAACGTTATAGAAATTTTTCGATTGAAGTTTAAGTCATACATCAACTTTACTTTTCCCACATGTTTGAAAAATTGCTCATTGAACATTAATAATGCATTTGAAAAGCATAAAATTACATGCTTTTTTAACGCTTTCGAATAAAACTGATAAATTTCTGAACAACGAAATAGTCCTGCACGAATGAAATTTAATAAGTAATGTGAAGCTCTCTCAAAAAAAAAATTCTCCCAAAAGTTTCTCCAAATCTCTCGATTCTTTATACGAAAATAAAACAAAATTGTTAGCAAAGTTAATACATATATAATGTTAATTCTATTCGTTTAAAAAAATTGATAAATGCGAATGAACTCGGTAAACTTATTAACCTCGTGAAATACTGGACAAAATTAAAATAGCTGTCGGATCTTCGCAGAAAAGCGTCATGACAGGAATTAATTAGCGAATCATCGTTTATCGCGATTAGGAGGCAGTCAGCGAAATTGGATTCTTATCTAGGAGACAAGCGCGCCAGCTGTGTTAGTAATTTCGGATGGAAAGCGCAATTACGTTACATATGAGAGGAAACCGTGCGCTTCGCTTCCGAAAATATCGCAAAATGAATAACGAAATACATTTCATTAATAACCCGTACGCGTTCGAATATTTGCATTGTAAATATTGCGTCTGGCAAACTAACCGACAAACGGAATTAACGCAGCGCGATGACCCTCTGCGTACGTGCCTATAATATTCTCTTGTAATATAGTACAAACATGTAAAATATACACAATCAGCTTAAATCAATATGGAATTTAGAATATAGAATCGTTCTCTCTCTCGTTCTTTCTACTTTTTCCTCATAAATGTACAGGAAAATGTACCACATTTACAGGTAGGTTAACCAGAAATCGGTTTTGCGCCTCCTACGATCGCGCTTTGCATATTTACGAAGTGCCGGATGTTGGAGAATTAAGCCGGAAGCGATCAGATATTAAATGCTTGTTAGAACTTGATGATTATCTTGAAACTTCCCTACTAGATGTAGCAACGCTGCCGCGCGATTGATAGCCGTAGCGTAGAGACGCCGATAATTAATAATCTCATGCTTCGAAATGGAGGCATGCGAGTATCCTATTTTGCCACTGGCGTGTCGCTCGCGATGGGGACCGTATGTTCAGAGAGCGAAATACTGCGAGGATCATAATGCCAAGTGATTGATGGCGGTTATCATACCGATGTGACGCTGCGCGACCGTCGTGCATTTCGACATGCACGCGGGACATAAGGCGCATGGAGATCCAACTGGATTGTGTAAATGTCTATCTGTCTGTATGTCTGTCGGCGTAATGGGTCAGCTAATATTTTTATCTCGCAATTAATTCTGCGCGTATCTTATCGTGAGAAACGTATGTCCATCGCACGTAAGCGAAGATTACGATCTAGATTAGACTCTATGACAATCTGATTCAGTCACGCTTATCCTCGGCTTTATCAGAGAACATTCTGTTTGACTATTTTGTAACGAATGCTGTAATAAAAAATGTAATAAATAAAAATCTTTGTGTCACATGTTATCGATCCGTTGCTTTTTTATCTATGAAACTAAATACAGCTCTCTGTTTGTTACCATCTCGAGAATAACTGTAAATCTTGTATTAGAGAAATGCAACCACATATCACAGAAAATATATATATTTGCTCCAACAAAATCATCTCTTCTATTTTCTTTCTTGTCAAGTTTATGTATTTAATTTGTAGCTATATTATATTTATTTTCTTTTTTAAAATCATAAATTAAAATTCGATAGTATCATCCTCTCTGTCATTTTTAATAACGTACCATATATGTATATATTTATTTATAAAAACTGCAATTCTCTACGTACATATTTCAGTATAATTTTAGCATACATAATATACGTATGTCTTTGCGTTATTGTATGTCTTTAAGAGAGAGACATACGTTTAAGACATAATCCGCGCGAGCCTCGGACAATTTTTTCTTCGCGGATCCGCGCGCAAAGTGCGTGCCTGAAGGTAATTGGTGCCAGAGCACGTGATGGTTTTATTATTTGCGTGACGTAATGGGGATGCTTGAGAGGGAATTACGGTAACGAGGAATAATTATATAGGTACGGGTAATGCATCAATTACACGATAACGGATATTATTGTATTCTAAACGCGCGGGGGCGAGAAGCCACTGATGGAAATATAATATTGCTTAAATAAAGTGTTATTACTTTTCCAAGGAAACGTGATATGTATGATTAATTTCGTACGATTTCGCGCCACCTCGTAATTTCTAAAGCGAGAAGCACAGCTTTGCGCGAAACGTTGAAACGACAAGAGGCGAATGAAACTCGCGAAGCGTGAATCGCGTGTGTGTGAATAATTCTAAATTATCATCTCATTAAATTTATTGAGCACACTGTTGAAATAGGACGAATGTATTGCGGCTCCTCATATGCGAAAAACGAATTTACAGACATGCACCAATAAGACAGAGCATTTTCCCTTTATTCGTCCATTTCCTGACAATATTGTGGTTGCTTAACCGATAATCATACCGCAGACCACGGGAGAAAATTTTAACCACGTCGTAAAATTTTTTCCTGAACCCGACGTAACAGAGAGTAACGCGACTTAATAACGCGCACAAAATAGACGTGTCGATATGGAGCGCGGTATTATATGAGCGAACAGCTGATAATGCGCGTTATACTTCCGTTGCACTTTGTTGCATTTTGTAAAATTGCACGCAACAAAATACGCACGCAACAGAGACCGGTGAAATGAATCTTCGAAATGTTCTCGCAAAACGCGGAGAGGCGTGTAATGACATCTAATGATGTATGATATAGCGCCAGGTGCATCGATGCACTTGCATCGCATTTGCCACCCTTGCGAGCGTGCGATTAAGCTATTTCACCGAGACACGTTAAATATTTGACACATTGAATATCACGCTAATGGATTATTGAATTTTTCACAAGAAAGTACTTCTCTCTTCCTTTGAAGTTTCCGGCAAAATTTGATCGACAATCTCGATATGATTAGTTGTTTTATCGGACAATCGACATGCCCATAAATATATTTTCGTCTGAATTGTTCCTACATCCACTTTCTCTTTTATAAAGTTTCCATTCTCTCGGTTAAAGGTCGTCATAAAACTTTAGATTTTGTCACGAGTCTAGTTTTCATCATTCCATATTTGGTTGAACGATTCACATAAGGCTGATCTCGTAATCTTAGTTACCGTTAACTAAAGTTCGATCTCTGATTCTGTATCTCTTTATATTTCTCTAGAAAGAACGGAGAAAAAACACCACAAATAAAGGAATGTGTTAATTATCTCTTTTTCATTCAATTTTGAATGATATTTATAGTAATATCACATATTTTAATAAAAAACATAACAATATACAGAGAATTAAATTTGGGCTAATTAAATGATGTTAAATCATCTGAAATTCTAACATGTTTTTTAATAAACACCAATGAAACGTGGATATTCAATGTATGGAACGCGTAAGAAGCATAATTCCACTTTATTACCTCATTAATTCAACTAATATAGGTGCCATGTGATTACCATAGAATACCAAACAACATGTTTCAAGCCACAGTTGCATAAGAATAATCATACAGTCCATCTGTTATGTGAATTATAAAGGAATTTAGGATGGATGAATTAGGTCGTATCGAGGAAAATTATTTATTTATTTAAGAGAAGAAGATACCTTTTATTAGCGTGAAAATATAGATTTTCCACTGATCGCCAAATTAGGAGAGTACTTTATACCCGGAAAAGATTGCAGTATCGTCTCTCCTTGTAAGGGGTAACGAATCTTTATGGACGTAGGAGTTCATATATTATCTCCATTATTCCCGAATGTGTGATTAAGAAAGCCACTCTCTGAAGCGCGAATCTCAGGAAGCGATGGTGCACATAAATCATTTAACAGGTGTTCACATTGATTTGCATTTATTACGTGGAGCACTCAATCAAATCCTTGTGAAAGATGCAGGACGATGTATAATATTATTTTTACATGAAAGACTATTTCTGATCTTTTGTCGATAACCCAAATCATATTTATGTCGTACTCAAAATTTTACTATTTTTGTCTTATATGAACTAAAAAAAATTATAAAATAATAAAAATATTGAAATAATAAGAAAATATTGAAATTATGAAATATAAATATAATAATAAAGTAGAATAGAATATATCTCAGAATTTTATATATTTATTTTTCTATTTATCTTATATAATTATAATTGATTATTAAATATTGCGTGACATACACAAGGAATTGTAAGAAATAATATTTCATGAAGGTACATCGCATATAATATTTTGATTAAAATTTTTCCATGCCTTTTAAAGTATCTACTTATCTGCTGAAAACTAATTTCTTCGTCGTTATCATAAAATTGAAATATTTTTCAACACTAACATTAAAAGAAGTAATTAATTTTATGACAAAACTAATGACTAAAATGCATAGGTTGTAAACTTGGGTGGAACTTCGAATGTGGGATATTTTCGCCTAATGCAATTTCGTCAGCGAGTGCTTTTTTCATCCCGTTGATGATAAAATTACGGCAGGCTCGGTGATGGCATGCTCTTTCTACAGAGTCTGCCTAGGTAAGGGGGTACAATACCTATATAAAGCTTGAATGAAGATGCTCCCAGCTATTCACTCTCACCTTTCTCATAAGCGCGCGCACAGCACAGCGTAGATCTTCCGGCCGAATCGTGAAGGAAGATCGACTTCGGTGGCTGCTTGGCGGCAATAATTTTCCGCGGAAAGGATTTCACTTACAGGTAAGTTTGAATTTAATATTTATTCACGATATTACATCGACATACGTTTGAGTAAAGAAATAGATGGAATTAATATTAATCTATAAGATACTTTATACATACTTATTACTTGAATATTTCTCATATATTATTTTTTTTACATATGAATGTATATTAATTATTTTAAAATTATGATAAATTATTTTTCCATGTTTATAATATATCAAAATATAATTTAATCCTTATAAATATTAACATTAAACTGAGATGTGTACATGTGCTGCAAGTCACAAACATGTTTCTTATCCAGTCATTAATTAACATTAATTATCATTAATAGTGTTTTTCATAGCCAGTGCTTATCTTGCACCTTTAGAGATTACCTGCAGATTTCATTGGAGAGATCTGTTTGTGACATAAATAGATATTTTTTTTAGTAAAATCATTTTATTCGTCGTACGTTACTTTCCTCAAACGTATGTGATGCTAAAGCCGCAAGCAAACCTCAGTTGAAGGAGAAAAGAGAAGCGAGTGTGAGAATCATTGTGCGAGAGTGAGAGTGAGAAATGATGATTGCTCACTTTGGTCACCGCATCCTCGAAGAAAGTGAGTACGCGTGTGAATATATAGATATACACACATGCAAGCTCTGTACACGCACCGCACGACGACGATGTAGACGCACACTTGTTGCACGCATGTAGTATATAGAGTCTTTTTGTTTTTCGAGTATCCGTGGCGACAAACAGTCAAACATGTCAAGTATCAAGGAACAAATGGACAAGTCTTATAAAGTGTTCATTATCAATTGCGATGATTAGTTTAAATAGTATCCCCTCTTGAAAAACTACTTCTATAATTATAATATAAAATTTCTTTTTGCATATCATTAAAGAAGATAATAAAATAGAATTAGCATTATACAATGAAAAAATGGATAAAAATCTTAGTATTTTTATCTTTTTATTTTTTATATTTTTTCTAAAGAAATAATATCCTAATTCAAGAGAATTTATTTCACTTTTCATCCGCGAAACGAGGAAAGAAGATAAAATCGTATCTTATTCGTTTCAAAAGTCATCTCGCATTGTGACTTCACGTACGGATATTGAAAAAAAATAATTATTAGGACATTCTTTGACTCGTGACATTTATCTTCAAATTACAAAACGTGCGCGAGGGAATAAGAAGAGTTTACGACATCTTTAAATCCTATCATACTTTGATAAAAATATAAACGGAGTGATGCAAGGACGAGAAAATATTGAGAGATTTTAACTTGTTCCACGGCATATCGTGAGTTATGTCATTATTATTTGTAATGATGTAATTATATTAACTATCTTTCAATCCGCAATTTCTCGGTAATATATCACCTTCGGTAAATATATCACCCTTATAGAATTGCCGATGGTTTAAAATTACATTTAAAGAGAAAAAAATTCGTCACAATTTAGTCATATTAAGTAATATAAATCATGTATATTATATGAATAGCATGCAAAGAATTGTGCAATATAAACTTTCTAGTAAAATTTTTGACATCTTGATTGATTTGAGTAAAGAAAAAAGATCCTCCAAAATTGGATTGAAGATATTCCCCAATATTGGAATGTTATATATGTCAATTATAATTTGACCAATTTTACGGTATATGGATAAATCTATCTGAGAAGAAAATAATTTCTCTCTCTCATTTTCGCATCAATAAATCGATGACCTACTTCATGGAGACGACATCTAAAAAGATTTTTGGACTAAATAATTTCTATTATAATATAGATTTTTTTTGTATAGTAATAACTCTTAAATGACGTGCATTATCAATATTTTTATTTTGCATATTACGAATAAAAAGTTTAAATTAAAGTAAAAAAAAATTTTATAAATAAATTATCCTCAAAATAGATTTTATAAATTTTTTTATAAATCATACATCAAAATCATCTCGCAATGTTTACTGCGTCGCCTGATACAATGACATCCTTTCGCTAGTCGCGGTACTTAAGATGCGTTTTCTACAGCACTACATGATAGTAAGGATGGAGGACACGTGCGTGAAGAGCTTGATAAAAAAAAGAGAAAAGATGAACAACACAGAGGGGAGACAAGAAAGGAAAAAAGAAAGAGAGAGAGAGAGAGAGAAAGAGAGAGAAAGAGAAAGAGAGAGAGAGAGAGAGAGAGAGAGAGAGAGAGAGAGAGAGAGAGAGAGAGAGAGAGAATGGATCATGTTGGCATACATAAGCAAATAATATTAAATGCCAATGAACAGGCTTGAAAACGCGCGTGTCTCACCATCCAAGGAATTTAACAAGCAAAAGTTCACGCTTTCCCGCCGGGAGGTACGTTTTTGCAACTAAATAAAAAATCGCAAACGACGTTTGCTGAAAGATGATTGTCTGGCTGGATAAAACCTTCGGTTAAATTCTCTGCCAAACTGTAAATTTTTTGCAAGTCGATAAAATAAAGCGCACGATGATATTTCGATGAGAAAGGAGGCAAAGAATTAAAAAAAATTGCCCGCGAGTGGATTTATTTCGCGAACGCGATAATCGATATTCCTTATATCGATGCGAAAAATCGAAGAAGGTCAGTAACGCGTAAATCAGTCCGACGTAATGTGCTGATATGAGAGAAGAAAGAACGGGGAAAAGATGTAGGATCCGTCGATTAACACGGTCAGAAATTTCCATTCGCGTGGAACGAATTTTCGCCGAAAATACGTTCGGATGAAATCCGTTTTCCCGACTATCGCGCATTATACGGAGATTACGTACTTGGTGTCGGCGACTGCTGACATTGCACGGTAGAAATCACGGCGAGCAACGCGATTTTTCATCATGTCGCGCGACACGGCCGGTTTCAGCAGGTTCCTCGCGCGCGTCGTGCAAATGCGCCGATGTATAAGGAAATCGATGTCCTCGTAACCCAGACCTATTGGACGTAACAGTTTTCACTGCGCGAGATCAACGGGCGCTAAATCGCTGCCTCTACTTAAATCGTTTCGTCATTAGCGTCATTAACGTCCGGCATCGCGAGCGGATTGCCCGTAGTTTGTGATTTCGAATTTAATTGAATGCGCGTTTACGAACAATTTCGTCGTTAAAGTACTTCGCGCGAGATGCATCGCCGTAATTTCATCTTTAGGTATTATGCTCAAGCCTTACGTAGCATCGTTGGGAAACGACTTCTTTATATGTATCGTACTTTTCTTTTTTTAATGTGACGGAACATCATGTACTTTGCATTGAAAAAGAATCTTCGAGAGAACAATGTTTTAAAATAAAATTGTAGAGTCGCGAATAGAAAGAGTAATTTATTGTTAAATAATTGTAATAATCTCTAAAATTCTACTAGTCATTAGGAACGTATTAAGTTTAATAATTTATAAGAAGAATTTCACTTTGTTTTAATGAAGTTTAATTCTGCATCCTCCTCTCTAGTCGCATTTAGCGACTAGCAGCTTGAATTATTGCGAATAATAGAATTGTTCCTTATCACAATTGCATTCTGAGCTTTCAGTTTACACAGTTTTAACGCCGCTTTCTCTATCCTGAAGATATTTTAACGCTCCTGTTAGAGCGACCCGCGTTTGATCACCGTTATAAATCCGAGTCGATGACCGAACGGACTGTTAGACGCATGCATCGGCTTTTAAATCGTAATAACCTCGAGTAGCCCAGTTCCCGGCGCGACACGCTCGTTATGAAACCTCCATAATAAACGAGTGCCGTCCCGCCTCGTTATTAAAATGCCGACATCGACAACGAAGCGGCCGGCGATGTGGCGAGAAGAAAACCGCAGCATCTCAAGTGCATGCTACACTTGCCTAATCGCGCGACCGCAAACAGCAACTTTACGGCCGGGCCGCCTGCGCAAAGCTACACGAATTTCGCACGATAATTGCACGATGCGAACGCGGGCGACAGCCTGCCGCGTTTCTTCTGAATTATGATATCCTAATATACGACGTGGAGTCGGTGAGGATTTCAAAAGAGTCAGTCCGCCTCCTCCCCACGCAAGAGAGCCGAGAGTACGGCGGATGTTAATTAGCGCGTAATTAGTACCGGCGCGTTAATTTGATTTGCGACGTGACGTGAAGGAGAGGGAGACTCGATCGGATCGAGAATATCGTCGTCGCGCAGGTGATGTTGCATTTGTCGAATTACGAAAATAAAAGAACCTTCGTAAATTCTTCAAAATACTCGTTGTGTTCGAAAGCGATGTAAGCGTCAGTCGTTTGACAGTTCAGTAATATTGACATTGAAATATTAATGCATGCAACAATGCGTTGAATAGAGACGATGACGAGTGTATTTTTTTCGGGTGTAACACATGCCTTTTGTCGAAATGACGATTTTTGTGTATTTTTAATCGATCAAATACGTCGTTCATTTTGACTTTTTATCCGCGCATCTCGTCACGTTCGAGAGTAAAAATCAAAATTGCTACAAAGCGATGTGTTACGCGATAATCTCTCTTCGTTGTTCTCAGCTGCATCAAACCATGACTGAATTTATCTTACCACATCGCGCTCTATGTACACATGTGCGTTCTTAATTTTTATTTAATTTAACTTAATTGTAATCTCTGCAATCGATCTTCTACTACTATCGCAACGAGAATTTTCTTCTCGTACTCATCGCAATTTAATATAGCGTGAGACTTGGGAAATACATTCACATACACATGTATCGATTTTTACCAGAACCTTCAACTTAGAAGTTTGCGAAACTAATAATTTATGAAAATACATAGGAATTTGTAAAATTCTGAATTCATGAAACGAACATAAGTATATGCGGAATCAAAGACCCGAGAAACTTGAAATTTATACTATCAAAATATATTCAGCAAAAATTCAGCAGTTATCTGTGATTAATGAAATGTGAAAAATATTCCGGAAAATCAAATGTAAATAATATTCCGGAAAATTCAAAATCTACGATGCTATTCCGTGGAACGAATAAATCTATAAAGAAGAAAAATGTATAGACTATACATAAATCACATAGATATAGGCTAGATACATAAATTGAACGACAGTTAGATCTCGCGATGCGTACGGTACGTCTCCGACGAGACACGTGTAAAAGCAAGCCGGTATCTTCTGTTCCTCTAGCCGGCGCGGTACGACTTTCACCTTTCACCTCGCTCAAGCACGATTCCACTGTTGACTTTTCGAACTCTTGCTCCACCGATGCAACGATCCGAGCTGCAGCATCAGCGCTCGGATACATCCGAATGGATCGTACGAGTGTGAGACGACCACAGGCGATTCGTCACGATTCAGTTTCACTGGGGAATTCGTGGCATAAAACTAAGGCAGGATGGAAAGCACTTCGCGCTGTCCTGTATTTCCTACAGATACGACGTCGGATTAATCGAAAGTGATCGTAAGATTTCGCGTTCGTTGAATGACGAGCTGATGATGACACTCAGGCGCAAGACAAGAAAAAGTCTGTTAAGCCAAAAAGAAGCCGCGCTCTTTGCAACGCGTATCGAACGTTTCGCAATCCTGCGAATGAGCTAAAATTATCTGTCAAGTGTGCGAATGATTGATGCTGTGCGCAATATAATTTTAATTTTATACAATGATAATAATTATATATCGCGCATCGCGTATGAATTGTAATTTATTTATCGATTAAAATTGAATATTAAATTTTCAATCGCATCTTAATCGATTCTGTAATAATTTTATCGATTCTGTATTTTATTTTTTTAAATTTTTATTTCTCATTTCTCACATTTTCATCTGCGATAAGTATAACATTGTTTTACGCGAGACTAGAGAAGAAATTAATTAAGTGTGCGCGAAGAGAAAAAATCCATATTTAAAACTAGATTTACGATAATTCCAGTCGCTATATAATATTAATGAAGGTCATTGTCTGTGAAAGAATGCCGCTTACTTACACGGAAGAGAGCTCTATAACATCCGTTTGTCCAAAAATATGAGAGATTAAGTGTTCGCGAGCTTCTATAAATTATCTCAACAAGATGGTCTAGAATTATGGAGACGTGTGAGACGAGACAACGCGATTATGCCGAGCGTAATCCAACCTGATGAAACATGCTGCTAATACGAGCCACCACACGTGAGAAAGAGCAAAATAATAATGGAAACGGCGCCGGCTCCTAAGTAAAGAAATATATTTAACGATCGCGATCCCGAGATATTGAAACAACGAACGCCATTACTCACACGCTAAATTTTCCGCTAAAACTCTGTTGAAATAAAATAATTGCGCGCGCGATTTCTTTTTTTTCCTTTTTCTACAACGATTAATTTCGCCAACACATCGGAAACCTTGGAGATCACTCGGCCGGCTGCAACTTGCCAAGACAATTATTCGTACAGTCATCGCTTGCCGAAATAATCCCCGACAGATATTAATCTTTAGATTAATTTCATCCGTTTGCGCGATTCGGATCTTGGATATCCGCCGGCAATTACGAGTCAATTAAAAAACCGCAAAGATGTTCCTCAACAATGTTACTTTCGAAATGGAAACAAGTCTGACTAACGCGCTGTTTACATAGTGTTCGCGCATTCCGGCACGAACTCGGAGACCTTGAGGAGACGTCTAACGCGTGTCTAAACGTATGTATACATAGATTTCCATAATCGTCGTTGTTTTTCGTATACTACACCTAGAACGCGGAAACCGAGACCTTGAGGAGAAATCACGGTGTGTATCGTTCTCTTCTCACGATAAGTCATCTCGCCTGCACGGTGACGTCAACTGTCAAAAGCTGCGATCACGGCCATAGATTTCATAATGATCACTTTCTACTTTCGACGAGAAGACCGGTTCAGCGTGCATCATCCTTGGGTATACCTTAGATATACTATTTCCAATTACGTGTCAATGACACTTGACCCTCGTAGCGTGAACGCGATTTCACGGATCGATTATTTTCAGGGATGAGGTTCGAAATTGACATATCGTGATTGCGGAGAGGACAAGAGATTTCAATTATATTAAATGTAAAAAAAATTTACAGGACGAGGATGAGGCTCATCGCGGTGATCCTCGTCGTCGCTTTCTCGGGTGCAGCGATGGGCCAGGATTTCGGCGGCCACGCGCTTTTCGTGAGAACCCCGGACGCAGATGCCGGTAAGAAAAATGCGAAAGGACTCTGCGAGTCCGCTCGGCGGAGGAGAGAGGCGGTAATAATTGTTGTGGTAGCAAATACGAACCTGATCACAAACGAATGGTTTGAAATTCATTAGCTCACTCGAGAGTCCTGCGGGCTGCTGCCCCAACATCGCCGGCAGACGTGATGGCGCAAAATATCCTAGAGTGGATTCAGGGGATCTACCAACAGGGCGCACGTAAAAGTAGGTTTCCGACTTTCAGCCATCAACGGGAAATACGGAAACGGCGCGATACGAAGCCGTCCCATCGACACACGCGCGAGTAACGAGTATTCCTTTTTTTGTTTCTCGACGATCGAATTTAGCAAATCTGACGCTGCGCGCTGATTTATAGACGGTTCAGTGCCGCTGATGGTCAGAGGGACGCTACCACGGACGTAAATTGCGATTTCGTACGCAAAAGCTGCAACTATGCGCAGCCGACGTCGTCGCACCGATGTAGATGTTATAGACGCGCAAAATTATTAATCCATAACTCGCCGCACTACTAATCAATCATTTTAGCATGACACCTGGACGCAAGTCTTCTCATGTTCAACGCTGAGGTTGGCTTTCATGCACGCTTAATCCGATCGATAATAAATTGTTTTTACTTACAACACACCGTCAAGTTAATGCACTCTGAATTAACTCACGAGCACATATATTTCACTCTGCCTACTTTATTTTTAAAAACTGTTTTTGTATTCAAAGAGACTGACAAACACGCACAAATATTTATAGAAATTAATGAAACTTATTTAACAGACTATAAAACCACGGATAATTCAATAAGATTATCAATAACATCCATGTGAAAAGTATTGTAATTTTTTGATTAGAATCATTTTTCAATTCAATATTATTTCAGTATTATTTCAATGTTATCAGTAAAATACTTAAAAAAATATTGTAATACTAATCCATGTAATTCTGTATTTTATTTAATATTTTATTTTTATATAAAATTAATAAAAGATTATTGTCGTATACTTTTTTTCTGAAGAGTTAGTTCTTTCGTACTTTCACGCAATACTTTTCACTCAGATCGTTGTTAAGTTGTCGATGAGAAGCATCAGTGGATTCTCTCGACGAGCCCACGTTTTCTTACAGCTCGCCAGCAATCGGACTCAAATGCGTATTTGCCGCCGTTCAGCACCCAACGACCACCCGAGAAACCTCGGCCCTTTCAACCACCGGGCGTGACGAGTTTTCCAGCCCAAAGGCCATCGTCACTCTATACCCCGCCGAACACTGGCGGTTTTCCGGGATCCGTACAGCCCTTATACTCCACCCCGAGACCGAGTTTCCCCAGCAGCCAACCGCCTTCGTCAACGTATGTGCCGCAAAGTTTCAGCGGGTCCACGTCTTACAACCCTCGACCGAGTCAACCCTCGTACTCTAACGCGGGCTCGTCAGCCTTTCCGCCGCTAAGCTCCCCGGAAGCGTCGAGTACTTACCTTCCGCCGCAATCGCCGTCCATCCCGACGACCAGTCCGAGACCACCTCTGCCAGAGTCCACGATTGGCGGCAATGGGTTTTCAGGCGGCGGCTACGAACCTTCCATCGGTAGCACTGCGGGAGGATACTCGCCCGGAGGTAGTGCTGGAACATTACAACCACCAGTTACAGGGGGATATTCGACTCCAGGTGGCTTCTCCACGTACGGCTATCCATCGGAACGGCCTACACCGAGTTTCCCCACCCCGGGCGGTGAGGGTGGAGGATATCCCAGTTCAAGTTATCCAGGCGGATCTACTTCGGCTGGATATCCATCCTCTACCCCCGGAGGGGGTAGACCATTCCCTCCCTTCACTACGCCAGGTGAAACTGGCGTTCCATCCGGAACTACTCCAGGTATGTTCTTCTTTGTAGAATTATTATATATATAGCATATATGAGAGAATAATGTAATTTTATCGTCAAGCCGACGAAGATCTCAAACATCCCCCGCATATTCACAATCTCGACGTCGAATGCAGTAAAACCATGATGACGATCAATATTGAATTCAACCGCGCTTTCGACGGCCTTATTTATTCTAAGGTAAACATCGGGCAATCGAGAATCTCTTGTACTGAATCTCATCAATAATAATCTATCAACTCTGTCTCGAATTTCAGGGATTCTACATGAACCCAGAATGTAGGTATGTAGAACAGAATTCGGGCCAAACGCAATATTCCTTTACTGTGAATTTAGAGTCGTGCGGAACTCAATTTATCAATGACTTCGAGGGTGAAGCCGGTCAAGCTTACTTGGAAAACGTTCTTGTATTACAGGTAATACGGTATCGAGTCAACTAAGTTCATTATTTTCTCAATTCCTTGATTTACTTTAGAAAAAAAAAACAAATGGCCTTATAAAAAATACTAATTATTTCAGAATGAACCAGGTATACAGGAAGTTTGGGACACAGTACGAAGAGTACGATGTCTCTGGGAAGGAAATATTAACAAGGCCCTAACAGTAAACTTCTCAGTGGACATGTTGAATCAGGAAATCGTTACCTTCAGTGGCGATACGGCTACAGCCAAGCTGGATATTCAAATCGGTAAAGGACCTTTCGCACCTGCAGCCGATGGACTAGTAAAGATCGGAGAGGCAATGACCTTAGTTGTCACCGTAGAGGGCGATCCTGGCTTCGATCTTCAGGTATGCATGAAAAAAATTTATAACAAAATAAGCAAAATGAATATAATTAACGAATACACAAAAAGTAATTATAAATTATTTCTCGATGTTCCATAACTATTTTTAAAACTATAAAATTATGATAAGACGATTTATTCTTTGCAAATGAAAAATATGAATTAAAAACCAATAATGTTCAATTATATATAATTATTTTTAAGGTACGCGATTGTGTGGCGCGAGACGAAGCCTCGACCAACATGCTGCAGCTCACCGACGAAAGAGGCTGCATCTTGAAACCGAAATTATTCGGTGCTTTCCAGAAGACAAACGACACCGGAAATACGGGCGCTTCTATCATTGCTTACGCATTCTTCCAAGCTTTTAAATTCCCTGACGTCATGGATTTAATCATCGAGTGCAATGTCGAACTATGCAAAACGGATTGTGAAGCGTGTCCAGAAGCAGATCAAGTAAGACGCAAAGTCAGATAATTATTTATATACAATTCTACATTATATATATTATTCGTTAATATTAATATATTTTTTAAAGTCTAAAATATTAATAATATATTCTTCAAAAATCTTACATTATTATTCTGCATTTAATTCATTTCACTAAATTAAGCTAAATTAAGTTAATCTGGTATTTTTATATAATTCAGCATTATATATATATAATAATTTGTTTTAGCAAATCGAGCCAGGTAGACGTCGCCGATCGGTAATGTACACACCTACAAATACTTCGACGAATCCAGTTTTGTTATCGGATCCGATTCGTGTCGGACGTCGTTTCAAAGTGATCATGCTAGACGACTTAAGCACAGCGTCCAGCCAGATCTTGGAGAGCATGGAGGAAACGGCCGTCGAGACAATGACAAAGACGAAAGATGTTTGCATGAGCAACAGTGGCTTTTACACGACTTTCTCCGTTATGTTAAGCACACTCTTCATCACGACCATAAGCGCGGCTGTATTTTACATCAAATTGCAACGGATTCGTAGAACAAAATTCGTGGATTCGTAGGATATTATTTACAACACCTCGATAAGTAACGATATTAGCAAGGGAGTTGCATAGCAAGTGACGAACGCGTGCCAGTAATCGAATAATGCTTGAGCAATAAGTGAACATTATCCTTCATCGCTTCGTAATCATTTTTCCTGCGAAGGAATTAACAGAGAAATGCCGAAGAAAAAAGTATACATCGATATATCTGTAACAATTGTTACTACAATTATGTCTGAGACGACAAATTTTAAAAATTAATTTTGATACATGCATTAATTTTTTTATCAAAACATGATAAATTCATTTTACTCGGCAGAGGTGTGCAGCCATATTTTACATATCAATTTACCAATGTAATCTAACAAACTACTCGTACAATCCTCGGATGACGGTAGTGCTCATTTCACGTAATATTGAATACCGATACGATGTGGTATTTATTGCATTCGATATCAGCAATGTAGATCTTAAGGACTTTAAAATAAATTATGATATTTGTAAAAAAAAGTTTCGTTATTATCATCACCTTTCCACAAATAATCGCTTCTTAATTCCTAAAGATGGAACAAAAACATATAAATAAGAAATTATATTTCTAGAGAATATTAATTGCAACTTTTTATAGTACATAATATTTTACAAATAATCTCAATAATCTTATATAGATACAAGTATAAACACGAATTCAAATAAATGCAATATGTTTTATGTTTAACAATTTATCACTACAAAAATATTGATTGGATATATATATAAACGCATATAATCAATGAAATAATATCCAATTCCTTGTACAATATTAAAAGTATAAAAGATATTCCTAACATCTATGGATGTCATATTTCTAATATAATATTAACTTATCATCTTTCATTGGACCTAACTTTACAAAACGTAAAACAAATAAGTACTCCCCTCTTACTTTCCTCTCACGAATGATTCTACCAGACATACCTAATTTGTAAAAAACACTCAGAATATATTCAGGATCATTTTCTTTAATAACAACCAAATAAAACAAGCCTCCATTTGATAAGATTTTGGGAATCAGAGTAAATATCTGTTCCATAACTTGTCTGCCATTTTTTCCACCTGCCCAAGTCTTAAATATAAGTCTATTTTCTAGCACTTCCTCATATTCTGTAACTACGTATGGTGGATTAAATAAAATAACATCATATGTATTTTTAACCTGTATACAATCTAACAAATTCATGTGGAGAACATCTACATCAACAGAATTAATTAGACTAGTTCTTTTCGTGGCCCTACATGCATCAGGATTTATATCAATTGCAATAAAATGAGCATTATGAAATGGTTTCAATGCCATTGCTAGAGCTGTGATGACTATACCAGAACCACTACCTATTTCTAAACAAATCGCAGGTTTCGTCGCATACAGAATGTTTTGTAAATCTTCTTCCAAAGCATCTATTAAAAGATACGAATCCTCAGAAGGATTATAAACTGTCTTGAGTTCTTCATCTGATAACTTAACTACTGGAGTTTCCATAATTTACTGTGAAAATTGTAAGAAATTTCTTTTATAAAACTTGCAAAGTAATCAATGTTAAGTAATATTTTGAAAATAAAATAATATAATTAGTTACATTTAAAATTATTGTTGTTTCTCAGCTTCCACTTTGGCTGGCTCTTCCTTATCCGACTCAACAATAGTACTACTATACGCAGAACTATTATCTAAGAGTGTTTTCCTCTTAGCAGTGCTCTTTTCGATAGCTTGATGAATTTTGTTTAATCGCTCTTGAGTGGTTTGTAAGATATTGCTAACAATAGTAATTTTGTGCTTAGCATTGATAAGTTTCTTTACATAAGAATCTGTCTCTAGAGGATATTGTAGTGCGTCGTTAATTCTCTGAAGTTCCTCTGTTAAGGATTCAATCCGTTGCTTCAGCTCTATTTGACATATCCTATAACAAAAAGAATAGTTATGCATAAAAAATAAAACTCTTTGCAACTTTTGTACGCAACAAGTCGTAGTACATGATAGAAGCACAATTTTTTATAAAACATCCCAATAATTATATATGAAAATTGAAAGTGATTTTCAAAATGCTCAAGAATTCTTGTAAAATAGGTAATAAGATATTCTTGTCTAAATCGCAATTTTTTATCGTCACAATTCGATGAATAAACATATATCTTGCAATAAATAGTACATTCCGTGAAAGAAATATAAGAATAATAAATATACGTAAATTTGCAAGAAGAAACGCGAAAAATAAATGTTACTATTAATGCATGCGTGCTGAACAGAAAACTTGACGTCACCTTGTGGCGCGAATTCTCTCATCCAGTTGATCCACCGTAGGTTTCAAGAGACTCATAAGACCTTCCGTTAATGCATCCCGCGTCGGATTTTCGCAAAAGTCATCGATCTTGTCGTCGATAGATGTATTGTCACTCGCTGTGTCCACGTCCATGCTATAGTGTAGTGAAGTAAAGGTTATGAAAAAGGCACGGTGGTGAGAAAGGGGAAAAGAAGCGAGAGGCAGCAAGTCGATTATCGCGCTTCAGTCGCCATATTGACTGATTCGATATTTTCGATAGATTTCGAATCACGGTCATAGAAGAACAGTCGGTGACGGATGTTCAGTTGCATCTGAATCGTTTCGCGTTTCTCGCGATTTTTACCGCGAAAAAAAAGATTTTTTATTAGCATAGTGACTCTTTCATGCGAGAAATTATCGCAAATAACCTATAAAAAGTATCGTAAAGTTCGGTATAATGTGTTAAATTGTACAATTAGCATATAATTGTTGCCACTTTGACATCGATTATAATCATGTTAGCTTTCGAATTGAATAAAAAAAAGTCGTTACATATTTCAAGTTACTTTTTCGCAAAGTGTAACGAAAGTATAATAAATGTAAGATTATCATCAAATATAAAAATAGTAATTCGGTAATTATTTGCGTGTATCCCGTATACAATGTGTCCTAAAATTATAATGTGCCCCGAAACCAGTGATGTGTATATTAACGAGATATATTGTATAAGGTATATATTTCATTAGTAATGGTTAAAGAATTTAATTTCTATTTTGTGAAAAATGATTTGAAAGTGATATATATGTAATGACAATTGTCAAATAATTGTATATTTGTTTTAGGTGCTGCTACATTGCTCCTGACAATGCTTAGCTGTTATTATAAGCTGATATATGACTGTTACAAAGTGAGTAAAATAATTGAATTTTGCAATATATATAACTGATGATTATATGACTTATCTCTATGAATTATTATATAAATGTTTGTCATATTTTCTTGATGCAAAAATAACTGATTTTATAAATTTTATTTTATTAACTATAAATACAAAATATATACAAATTTTGCAAATATCTTGAAATCTAAATATATATATATATATATATATATATATATATATATATATACATATTTTCATAATTTATTTTAAAAATGTTTGTTATTTATTTATAGAGAAAAGATTTTTTGTAAACATGTTTATCTTTGTTTATTTTGTTTATTTTTTAGAGAAAAATATCTTTTATCGTGAATTTCTTATCTTTTATTAGTTATTTTAATTTATTATTTTTATATTTCTATACATTGATACGTAATAATTGATTTGTATAATATTATAATGTCATTGTTTTGCACGGAAAAAAATAAAAGGCCAGAAAACAATATCAAAAAAGACATTAAAAAAGGAAAAATTAGTTGTCTGATAAGTTTGAATTTTTGCAGGTTTAATTAAAGATGATTTTACAACATGATTAGCGAAATTTGACGTTCGATTATTCTTTCTGTTTGAGTGAACATTTTTATAATTAATGACATTATAATCTGACATTAAATCCAAATCTTCAGTATCCATATCGATGAGTTTACGATGTTTTATTGATTTCCTGCATATAAATTTTGCTGTAAATATATTTGCTTAAAAATGTAATCTAAAAATCGAAAGTTTTCCACATATTTTACAAAATATAGTACTTTTTCCATCTTTTCGTGCTTTTCGTTTCGGGAGAACTCCATGATTCAGTTTCGGTACATCGACTAGTATGACAATCGCATTTAAATGCTAAATTTTTTAATAATGTGACAGACCGTGGATTATCACCAGTAATTATCGGCGATTCGATTGTCGGTGAATCTTCTTCGAGTTCTTCGTCGGCATCCACTTCTGAACTTTTCTCGGGGTACCAAAGATTCCTAAATAGAAAGTATTTTTATCTATTGTTTATTAAAAAAAGAATTACATAAAAAAATATAGAATAAGTCAGCATCTATTTTTTTAAATAATTGACTTACGTTGAATTTTCATGTACAGTTTGCAAAATGTTTTTGACTTTTACATTTTGATAGTCAGTTATTTTCAAAGTTTCCTCCTTTAATATTTTTTCAAACTCGCTAGAATTGTGTATATTGATAAAGATTATTTAATAATATAAATTATAATATAAATTATATGTATATTAATAAATTTATTACAAATAAATGTAAAAGATTATTCACTAAAACAGCTATTCACCAATGTTTTATTTTAATAATGTTATTTTAATAATGCAATATTTATAATTTATATTATTAAATAGTATATACCAGTATATATATATATATATATATATATATATATATATATATAAAATTATATTTTCTTATATTTGCTTATACATATATAAGATATAATTTCATCTTTAATAAGATTATTTACTGGTACATTTATTTTACTAATTAAACTTCTCTTTTTGTTACATCTTATTTTATTATATATTTAGTCACTAACTTTTTCTCTTCACTGCATTTTGTGGGTGATTTCGTATTTATAGAATATTTTAATTCATCTCTCATTAGAATTTTTCTATCCTGTTTTTTAATATTAATATATTTAAAAAATACATAAATAAACATTCTATTCCATAATAGATACGTTAATAAATTATACCGAATAGATATGAGATTCTTCATATGCAGGAAAGAAATTAGGTTTTATGCGCGGAATTTTACTAGCTTTATTTTGTGAAATACACAATCTTGCATCTTTATCAATTTTATTAGAATTTTCTTCCTTGTATGGATTTCTCGTTTCTTTAGATGCATAAACAATTACGTTCATAATGCTTTTATCATTTTCTGCTATTTCTGAGGGCTTTTGAATATCTCGTGAAGACATCAAATTCTTCTAAATATTATATAAATTAATGTAAAATTAGCACATTTAATTGTAAGGAAATAATTTGTTAAGACAAACTTGATGAAAATTAAGTGGCGTTTCGCGATTTGCAGTAATAACGTCAATCTTTTCTTTTCCTAAATTTTCAGTATCTCGAATAATGTCCGAGGAAGGTATTGATTCCTTTTTAATCTTAACAACATTGTAAATTTGCTGTGGATGAACTCTTTTCGTTTGTAATTTTGATTTAAAAACAGTGCTCTTTTTTTTAATAGTTACATTCGCTTTTCCACGACTATAAGATTTTTTTTTCTTGATCGATTCCGATAATCCATCGCTAAAGTCCGACGAACTCGGGTTTTGTGTATTATTATCAATTTTCGAGGAAATATCGGGCTGACTAATAGCCGCCTCATAATCATAGGATATGATCCCTGGTTTTGGTTCCGATTTATTTTTTACGACTGATTCTTTGTTAATTGCATTTTCGCGTGCACTACGACGCGACGGTGGATTCATCGTATCTCCAGCATGACTGATGCTATAACTAAAATCATTCATTCTTTTCTATAATAATTTTTACTTATTTTTATATCGCACTTTTAAATCAATAAATTTACTTTAATAAAAATAAAAATTTAATTTAATAAAAATTCACACAATAAAGCTATAAATAATTAAAGCATTTATTAATTCGAAAAAATTAGAAATGCATAAAATATTTTGAAATTATTTTGAATATACTGATATCTTAAACATATGCATTATTGGAATGACAGTGCATTATTCTTTGCATTTCTATTGTTAAAATCAAAAATTTTTTTCTAATTTTTACTAATTTACTAATTTTTACTTGGAAGTCACAGATTTACAGCTATTAAGTTGCGCTTGACTTTTAGACGATTTGCATATTTTAAGTTTAGCCAGGAGTTTTAATATTGCTTCAGATCGTCTGCGTTCAATGTTGTAAGAATAATCATGACACGTGATAACATTTGTACATTCCGCCTTTTTATCCTGTTTTTTTGCATTTGCTTTATGCGTTTGCAAAAGTGGCGGTATTAAATGATTCAATTTATACCGAAGTTGCGGTCGAAAACGATATTGTGATTTTCGTGAATTCGCCAGTATTTAAGTACGTTCACATCTTTTCTAGATATTCTCATAAATTCCGTCGCCCGATTAACCATGTCTTTTTGACACGTTATCATTAAACTCGATAAAATTATTAATCGCACGTTTCAATAATTCGATTATCGATTGAATCCTTGATTTATGTTTTTATGTATACTTTATTTCTGGTTAGTCATTTTGATATATGTTTTCATATGTTTTTTAATTGATGATGAGTAGTATGAAGTATGCAAAATGCATTAAACATTTATCAATGCTATAATCTTATACAGTATGATGATCAAAAATGTGAAAATTGACATAAATTTTTTTAAATTCTATACTAATTACCCCTTATTATAATAATACTAATATTAGACTTGTAATATTAATATTATACTTATAATTTTAATGTTATATATAATTTATATAATTATTATTATTATAATTATTTATATAATTATATATAATTTTATTATATAATTATAATTATTTATATAATTATATAATTATATATAATTTTAATATTAACCTTATACTTATGTCCGAAATTATAAAAGAGATAATATTCATAGGAATGTACAAATTTTGTACATATTTATATTCATAAATAATTTGATTTGAAGATTATGTAACTTAAGATTACTTATAGTAGTATTTAATCTTATTATTGTAAAATAAATCGTTATCTGAGAATAGGTTTATGTAAAAGTATACGGAAAACGAATCGCGCGATCTTTTCATAAACCAGAAACATCAAGGCGGCCGTGAGGACAGTTTGCAAAAGTTTAGCTTCCATTCCTTTGTACAATCCAGCTATTCCTTGTTTCCTGGGTGCAAAAATCACACACTCGTTAAAATATTCTCATAAATTATATATAATAAATATAATAATTATATATAATAAATAAAAAAAATTTTTAATATATACAAATTATTCAAATAATATAAATCTAATAAGAAATCAAAGAAAGCTAAGAACCAAAGACGCAGGTAATGATACGCGATAGTAATATATTATGATAAAAACTTTGTAAAATTGTTCCATTTACATACAATAAGAAGCGCAAAAATATATATTTAAATTATGTTGTCGACGACGTTTCAATCCTGCTCTGGGTTGCTTTTAAAGTCAAATAAGAAAAACATAATATTGCGTTTCGACCCCAGAGCAGGGTCGAAACGTCATCAACAGCACATTTTAAATATATATTTTTACTTCTTATCGTATGTAAATGGAACAACTTCATAAAAAGTTTCTATTATAATATATTATTATTATCACGCACCATTATCTGCGTATAATAATACGATAAAAGAAATGTATTTACTGTAAAATAATACATTTTTCATATAAGAATACAATTTTCATTAATTCATTTTTACTTACTTCAGAATGTAGAATAATATTTGCAATGTGCCTGCATTTGGAGGTAAATTAGGATACTTGTCTCCATGCTGAAATTGCAATATTAATCTATTCAAATCATACAATAATTTTTCTGTCTAAATTTATTTGTCAACTTTTAGAAAGCAAACTAGAAATGTCATTAATATGTTATCGATACCCTCAATTTTGTTTGCACAAGTTGCAAAGGATATGTTATTGATGTAGCAATCGTTTTCGCTATCGCACCGATAGCAAAGAAAATCCATGCCGGTGGCTGAGTATCGCCAAGAGATATAATGACTCGTCTTTTAATACTCTCATATGTCATAAATTGTATAGCGGGATTCGTGACAAGCATAAGACTCGGCAATGTTCCTGCCCACAGCTGTTTCAAACCTTCATATTTCCATATATGCTTGAGACCGTCTGTAAAAAGCGATTAATTAATGTTGTACAATTAAAAACAATGTATAAATGGAAAGAATGCTACATAACAATTAATATATTGCAAAAATAATTCTAAAAATAAAATTATCCTTAAAAAACTTTTTTAATTTCAGAATACTGATTTTTCAAAATGTTTAACGAAATATATATTTTAAACAATATGTATTTAATAACTTATTAAATTTAAAATCAAATTTAATAAATTTCATTAAGTTTAATTATGTAAATAATGTATTTAATAATTTAAATATTCGCATGAACAATAGCTATTTTCTTCTTCTTCTTTCTCTTTCTCTTTCTAAAATTATATTGTTTCCTGCAGGCTCTAGAAATTGATTTGCTCTCGATATATTATTTAAACGATTATTTAAACAATCTCAGTAAATTATTTATACCATTGAATATAGCTTTGTCATTTGATGCTACTATTAATTAGTATATATATACATAAATATAAAATAAATAGGCTATTTTTATAATAATTACAGCTGATAATATCGGTAAACAAATTATGGACTCTCATTTAACTATTTTAACTATTTTATATTACATGTAATTTCTCTTGTGTCTCGAATATATGAATTCGCAAGATAAATAATTTGTCCTCAATAATACAATATCACGCTACTTATTATGTATGTCGTAAGCACATTTTAAGTGGTGACGCATACGTCCACATCATATAGCTTATTTCCACGTATACATATATTAACAACACATACATCGTCAGACATAAGATGTATAGGTGATTAATATTATTTGAAATGTACATATATATAAAGAGTTACTAGAATTGTCATGTTGAAAATATAAATGATAAATAAATATGACATACATGTTTAAATGCGTATTCGTATATTTTTATATAAAATATACTTACCATATAAAGTAGTATATTCGTTATTATTTCTTTCTGGAGTAACTTGGATGCCTTTCATTTTCAATCTCGTGTTCACAACCCATAGAGGTGTTGTCGTGAGAACATTGATTATACCTAGAAAAAAAAAATATATATATATATGCCACATAATTTAATAATTAATTTATTATACATTAATAATATTGAATATTAACACTAAATTTACTGACAATTTACGCATACCTTTTTATATCATAACTGGTCAAATAACCGGTTTTCAAAAAAAAGTTACATCCTTTACAGTTAAATGCAGATAATAGTCATTTTATACTGGTTTTAAAAAAATAGAAAAAATACAAAATCGTTTACAAATTCTGAAAACGATTATTTGACCGGTCATGGTAGATTTTTTAATTGTTAAATCATATTATATTTAAAAATTTGAAAGAAAAAAAATATTTTAATGTGCTTTATTCATTTGCTAAGAAATTATGTATACATGTGATATGAATAATTATTTGAATGTGAATTGAATAATTATTTCTATAAGTATATAATAAACTGAAATTATACCAGCGATCGACGCGATAAACAAGTCGCTACCAGCCGTTTGGTTTCTTCTGCTTCTCAATTCTTTTAAGCCGTGAAATGTGTAGAAATAAATAAAATTACTCGCGCATAAACTTTGCAGAACAGGAACCATACCTCTGTATAATGTGCACCTTAAAAAACAAATGACAATTACATTATTTAAATCATATTTCAAAACTGATAATACAGAATAATTTCTTATTCAAATTTTTTGTTCTAGAATTTGTCAAAACTTATTTTAAAAATATTAATTATAATTTCTGACAGTTATTCGAAGCTCAAAACAAAACACGTGTATCTCTTCATAAAAATATATTCATACAATACGTACGGTCCTTCTTTTGCAACGAGTTCTCGTATAATCGCCAATGTATTGTCCGATTGCCGTCCTTCTTCCACTGTAAATAGAAGAATTTATTCATAAGATTATTACGTAAGTTAAATGAAAGATGAGAGCTATTTATAATTATATGTATTGAATAATACTTATGTATACAAACAGTACCGTTCATTAGATAAAAATTTCTTACATAATTTTAGACTTTTGTACAATGTTATGAAACACTAATTATTATAAATTGTTGCTAAATTATTGGTTGCTAAATTATTGGCCCATTATTATATTTTAAATATTTATACATACAATAAAATAATAATAAAATATTTATTGTTTAATAACATTACAAAAAATATATTTATAATATAATAGTTCAAAAAAAAAATATACATACATATACATATATATATATATATATTCTCTGTATATATGTACATTTATATATATTTGAAACAAATTGTTTGTTACTTTATATTTCTATCATATCAAGTTTAATAGGTAAATCCTATATCAAGCAAAATAACATAAATAAATCTAAAATATGTTTATAAATAAAAAGCAAGCTTAAAACGCGTAAATATTTACAATTAAACACATATAAAAATGCAATTAAAAATGTACGTTTCAAGCATTAATGATAACGAAAAATAATAAAATATTGTCTGAGAATGACATTGCATTTAATGAAATCAAAAGCTTATTGCAGATGTTTCTTTTCAATGTACAATTGTAAAACAGGAAATAGATGAAAAATTGGCTTGTCATGTATGTAAATTCGATAGATACAAATATGGATTACATTGTAAACGACTTCGCACGGTATCTAGAGGGTAGAAGGCTGCCATCGCGATAACACTACCCTAAAATGTCGAAATGTTAAAATTATTTTCGGCAAAAGATACACATGTAAATATTGAGTAAAATACAATATAACCCACCGCTGCACCGGATATCGCGTGCACTAACGTGTCATAGGTAAAGATGTTGTGTCCACTGCCAACCATTGTAACAAAGTTTCTAACGCAAAATAGATTGTAAACTGTAATATAAACTTAATGATTTATTTGTTGTTTAAGGAAGTATACGTATATCGCAGATGATATAATTCAAGCCGCATTGTAACACATTGCTACGAAATATCTCGATCAATTAATGACACTTTTAAAATATTTTCTTATAATATTTACAATCTATAATCGTCTTGAAAAAAATTAGATAAAACAAAATATAGAAATAAGTTTCTGTAGAATTGAATATTTAATCTATCAAACCAGGAATTTATTTCTAAAATTTTTTATATATCTTCTTGTAACATATTGATATCATTTAGCTGATATTATTTAAATTTAAAATAAGAAGCTATTATATAATTTCATATATATATATATATATATATATATATATATATATATATGTGTGTCATTTTTACGCACATGTAAAAGATTTATTTAATTTTTTTATAAGATATATTCATATCTATATCTATTGAACATATGTTAATATATTCATATATTCTTTATTAAAAGAATTCAAATGAAAATATTATGAGAAAAAAATGCAACATTTTTTAATTGTCTTAATTTAATTTCTTAATTTTCTAATAAAATAATTTCTTAATTTTTAATAAAATAATTTCTTAATTTCTAATCAAATTAATTCTTATTTTTGAACATAATGAAAATATAACTTTAAAATATATATATATATTAATTTACTTACTTTTTCAGCGTAGCAAAAATATTCTCGTTCTACCACTCAATCTTATACATTTAGCACAAAACTAAGTGAAATTATTTCAAGTACTGTGATTTTATGTCTATAATTATTTCATAATTCTTACAATTCTCACATTTACTTTAAGTTTTGTAATATTTGCGTTGAATTAGCCGCGGCAAATCGCTTAATATGTCGACGAGCGTTTATCTACCGTTCACTTCGTGGCGAACGCACTGACACTATCATGTGTGATTCCGAGATAGCTTATATAAGAGGAAATCCACGACGCACGTTCAATGTTGGCCTTCACGACTAGCGCGACTAGTCGTCAGTAAACTGTTTTAACGACACTTCATTATATTATCTTTAAGGAATTTTACTTCAATCAATGCTGAAACCGATATTATCATTTCGTGATTTTAACAATCTTTGCGTTGTCATCCGCGTTGGTCTGCACCCACCCGCACTCGAGAAATTACCGACGTATTTCGACGTGGCGGTCAGACATACAGTCAACACGCTTGCGCTCTTAACGCTCGTGTTTATAAGCGAAGAGGTCGATGTAGGGAACGGTGTACATGCGCATTGGCGAGAGGGTGACAGTTAGTAGATAACATCCTCTCTTTTAAGAGAAAAAGTCAAAAACAATTTTGAAAATTATATTGAAATACGCATTAATTGTTGAAAACACTACGTTTCTTTTACTTTCCAATATTTATAATCTCGCTTTTCATATTTTCCGCATAGAATTCATAACGTATACAAAAAAATTTTCGAAACAATTTTAAGAAAAAATCGAATATACAGATTTTGACATGCAAAAACTCTGCGAATGGATGTCATTTAAATTAAAATTTTTATATTTTTATAAAAACTTTTAAAATAATTTAAATTTTTATAAAAAATTTATATTGAAACATTTGAAAACGTTAAAGAAAACATTAAAGAAAAACGGTTTTAAAATATGAAAATATCGCCATTTCGAATTATAATAATTCGTGTATTTACGCATATTTATGATGTCAATATGGTTTCACATAATTTGCATTATTTCATTTATAGAGGAAAATATTTTATGTTTATTAAATTATGTCAACAGCTTTGTTGAAAAAAACAATAATTATTAGCATTTATGTATATTTATTATAATTGCAAATAAGATGTGTTCTACTATTACGAGTTACTTCCTATTGAGCAATATTTTTATTTTCAATATTAGTTTTTTTTCATCGAGACAATCTTTTAAGAAAAATCACGCTATGGTTAATAACTTCTTAATTTTTAAAATCAATATTGTGGCTCAACAGTATATTGCGAACTAAATTCTACGTATAGAGATCTTTGTTGTGTCGCATAGTGTCTGAAATTCCTTCTAAGTTCTCGTCAGAGTTTAATTAAACATTCCACGACTGTTAGAATGCGTACGTTGTGTAATCATGCTCTTCTCCTAAATACAAACCGCTGTTAATAGCTTTTTTCAAACATCTCATAAGTCATATATCTTTGATAAAATGTAAATTTTAAATTAGAGAGATTGAAATATTTTCAATTTTTTATCGAGAGTGTCGCACAGGAAATCTACATGATATATATATATTTATTTGTTTATTTATTTATTTATAATCTTTTTTAGAATTAATGCTCATGTTTGTTTATTAATTTCTTTGAGCATATATAAAGTTAGATGGAATTTATCAGTTATAATATTTTACTAAATAAAACGAAATAAATACACACACACACACACACACACACCACACACACACACACACACATATATATATATATATATATATATATAATATAAATATGAAATAAATAAATGTAAATTATATATTTTATTAATAAGCATTAAATGAGATTAAATGCAAAGTTACAGCAGGATTTCTTTTTCTGAAAAATAGTAATATGATTAGAGAACATAATTTCAATGTTGTAAAAATATTGTAATAATTGTACAAAGTAAAGTTGCAGTTTTCAAAATATTATTACCTTGAATGATATCATAAGATGCAAAGTATATTAATATCAAATATTTTTGTTAAACTTTTGAAATAGTAAATAATTATGAAATTATTATACAACAAAGTTAGTATCGTATTAAATATTTCATCAAAGAAAAAAGATCTTAGCATACTTTGTCATATTTTAAACATGGTTATCTCGAGTGTACCATTTTTGTTCGTTTTCAATCGAACAATGAAAACTCATTCACGTCTCTTTTTATTCTAACTTTATTGAACTTCACTTGTGTTTTCAGATAACAAAACGCTTCTCTAGTGCTTTTAATTTCAATGAGAATTATGATTTTTTCTTATTAAAAACGCCAAAGAATGTAAGTGATCAATATTAATTATAAAAATTGATTTTTCGATTTAAAATCTCAATTATATTACTGAAATATTTATAAAATAAGAAGTAAAAGAAGGCTAGGAATCAAAGACGCAGGTAATGATGCGTGATAGTAATAATATATTATGATAGAAACTTTGTAAAGTGTTATTTATCTTACGATAAGAAGCGCAAAAATATATATGTTTAAAATATACTGTCGACAACGTTTCGACTCTGCTCTGGGTCCTTTTCATAATATTATCATTATGTTTTTCTTGTTTGATTTTGAAAAGGAAACACAATTTTTTTAAACACATAAATTGTGTGATGCCATTTTATTATTTTAATTGTAAAATTACGATCAGATACGTATATGAAATTATTTTAATACGCAATGAGGTTTTCTTGAAAATTTAATGAATACACCCAGATTTGTATCGTTTTCATCTTGTTATAACGATTATTTCTATTCCATATCAAAGCAATTAATAATTGAGAAATTCAATTGAAGAATTATCGATCAAACCAATGAAATAGATTGCCGGAGGCAATAATCGACAAATGGTAGCCCGCAGCGTTAATGATGGAAATTTGGTTTAAATCAATTTCTCGCTCAAAGTGATCAGAGCAAGCCTTAAATCCAAATCTCACTTTGGAAATTGATCACAATATTATCTTCGATGAGAGAAATTTTTTTTCTGTAAAAAAATACATGTTTTAGCATTTTTATTTGGAGGCTAGATATAAGTATGGTTCAAAAAATTGTAGAAAAGATATGGAGAAAATGTCATTTATTTGATACAAAAATGCGAGCACAATCGCACATATTTGCGACTATAATCATGTTTTTTTCTCTTATTTTTACCGATTGCAGCAATGTAGCTCTGCGCTTGCTTTCAATTATAATCGATTTATGAGCCGCCTAATTGGTCAAATCGTCGATTGTACCTTAGAGAGTAACTATAGCCGAGTTTATGGAAAGAGAACGGATGCTTATTCTTATCTCAAATATTCACAAATCTACATATACCTATAATGTCCCATCGGTCCAAATGCCAAATTCATTGAATGGGTCTTATACAGGAAAAATATATTTTTTTCAACTGAAACGAATAAATTTCACGTACACATACATATACACAATTTTAACAAATTCATATTCGTTAAATAACTTTCGCTCTAAATATGTTAATTCTTTTTACGATAATTTGACAGAAAAAAAAAGTTGTACGTTAGCTATTTTATAAATAAATTTTTTATTATGTTACTAAAATCAGATATAAAATCTTCATATTTAATTTTTGCTTTTTTTATCTGTGATTATGCTTAAATTACGCAAATACACAAAAGGATTAAACTGTATATTTTTCAAACACAATCAATAAAAGGAAAATTTTGCATGCATTTGTCCGATACGAATTAACAGATTTGACATGCATAGAAAAGGAGGTCGACATATCAAAAGTATCGATTGACTTTGTACGCATGTAACATATAATGCGTGTCATGTCATTGACAATGCGATCTCACTAATCGAAGATGACAAACCGAACACAAACAATATACGAAATGTACCAAAAATGTATTAAAATTTATTTTAAGGCTATTTATTCTTAATGAAAATCCGTTAGATACACGAAAGAATTTAACAGAAGATAAAATGTCACAATCAAATATTCAAAACGATGAAATATTAATTTCTTTAATCAAGCGCCTTTAATAAAATTAATAACATTCTAAATCTTATGTGAAAATATAAATGCTCTTCTTCGCGTGCCGGAACTCGAATAAGGCTGGGCGCAGTTAACCAATTCGGTAGAAAGCTTTTTCCATAGCTTTTTCACGATCTCATAACGCTGACAACTCTCTTGCATTGTCGTTTCATCGTAAAGATTTTCTCGAGAATAATTTCGATAAAAATTTTAGTAGAAAGAGTACGTGCTCTTTCGCGCTTTTTTCCTCTTTCTTTCTCTCTCCTGCGACTCAATCATCTCACTGCTATCAGAGAACCCTCCGATCAAATGTCAAACGATCTTATCCTCCTTAATCGAGGTATCAATTTCCCGTTTAGCGTTTGATCGACGACGATTAATTAATGTAGCGGCTTACCTCTCAATCTCTCTTTCTCTCACTCGATCACATCTTAAGTTAATTATACATGTTACCTTCGGGACATTACGCTAAAGCTATATTCCGTTAATTAATTAAGGCGAGTAGCGTGGTCGGTTTAAATATGATTTTCCCTTGGCGATCTTCGTTCGCGAGTATTCGCTTCGCGTTGTCTATGTATTACTATAGTGAAGTTTGACAATTGTAGATCTGAAAGTTTCGATCGCATATATGAGGTTTTCATTAACACAAATTTAGTTATCATTATTTTTCTCGTCCCGCAAGAAATATTGGAAAAGGATCAATTTTTATCAAAGATTAAAAATAATATAATAATGATAAAAAAAACGCTAATTATATATACAATAAATTAAGATGGACAGAGACAGTATCCAATACACAAGGGTAATAAAATTATAATAAGCAAAAGTACAAAGATCGTATAAATAGGGAATGATACTCGTTTCTAAAGATCGCTTTAAAACGCGTTATCATATTTTTCATATTTCTAGAAATTTGTCCGCGCGCGTGACAATTGTTTGAAATATCACTGTATCGTGCAGGCCTTCCTGGACTCTATCCTTCCTGTTCTAAGCGTGATCCTGGATCCCGGTGTGTTGTTCTCGTTCGCGGCCGCGAGCGAGCACGTTTTCGTCCGCATGATCATTAAGTCCGTCCTTATGCTGGGACGTCGTACGTTCGGCGCTACGACGCCGCAAGCGTCGCTCAACCGACGTTTTATGCTGAGAGTGGCTTTGTGCCGCGGCTGAAAACAAAAGCGTCACTCTTTGAGCCGTCCCTCGATATCATGAAAGGTAATCTTCGTTTAATCGATCGCGATGCGACTCCGAAAAACCAACAGACCCGTATCGTTCCGCGCTTCATCGATCTTAATCGGATTTTTCGCGAGGCTTTCAAATACAGAGACGTTTGATTAATCTTGAGGAAATTGCAATTTAACGTATCTTTAAATGTTACCTCGAGCATATTATTCATTAATCATTACTTACCTGCGACGGCGGTAGCATGGTCGGCGAGCCAAAGGTAAGCGGTACCTTTCTATGGTGATTCGGAGCCATCTCCAGAGGTAGACCTGCCACTACGAATAACTGATAAAATAACTCGTCCACGTGATAATTTCGCTTCGCGGATGCCTCTACAAAGATGCAGCATTCATCTTGACTCACGCAATATTGCTCGGCTTCCTCTACCGTGACCGTTCTACAACGTGAACAAGAGATTCGTTAAAATAATTATGCCACTCAAAGATGCAATAATGAAACGATATTATTCAGGAGACCAAAGTTAAGAACAGGGGAGAACGTACTTTACATCTTTATCACATTTATTCCCCACGATGACCATAGGGACCTTCAGACTGTAGTGGCTCCTTCTGCTCTTCGTGGCACTTTGAGTCGCGCTCACTTTAGTCTCGAGGATCGCTTCCCTCAGCCTGATGGCTTCCTCGAAGGATTCCCGACAGTCCATACTGAACACCACGACGAAGAGGTCCCCTGCGAAATCGGTTATCGTATCTGAACCGGTCGATTCGTCGAACAGCACGTTACTCGCTCGTGTATTTATTCTTAAAACGCTAAATTATTGAATATTTCAACGTGTTACGGATAAATACGATTCGGACAACTCGTATTTTTGTGGACTTATATAGAGCGAGTTTATTTACGGTGTTTCACGATACCCGCAGCAAAAGGTAATTTTAAACTTTTAAACCTCTTTCGTACGTCCCTTTCGAGTCTCTATTATACGCGACATCAAGTGCAATTATTTCGAGCCGGACGGGAGTCCTTGCGCGTTGTTGCATACGGACTAATTATAGCGGTCACGCGAGTCACATGCGAAACACGCGTGTGTTACGGATTATGAATATTTATTCTGACTGATTTATTTCCATAGCGACAAGGTGCGGTCTCTCCCCCCCTATATAACTATTTATAAATCCATCCTAACGGTAGTATGGCGTGTAACGATTCCGGGTCTCGTGTTTACGAAGCGCACTGTTTCCGCTTGTTTCCGGCAAAAATGCGTCGCGGACAAAAGGGCGAGTAGAATCAACTGGCTGCTCTTGTGGACGAACAAAAAGCTCGTCCGATGGGGAAACTCGACGAACCGGGCGTATAGAAGCTCGGTAATAACGTTGCTTTGCCAGCACACGGCTCCACTTGGTTTTATTATCGCATATTCTCTCGCTAAAATGCCGCTAAGTATCTCATATAATAATAACATTGTCGTTAACCGCGCATTAGTGGAATAAAGTTTGAGGAAAGCGTTTCTTTATGTTTTGCTATTAAATATTTATCATAATTTTATATTATCATTATGTAAATTTAATAATTATGATTAAGAGTTATACGTTGTTATATTTTGTTATTAATTTAATTTAATTGCTCTTTTATTTACTTCTTATTAATTTTATAAAACGCGACAAAAATAAGTTGGTATATTACATGTGTACATACTTTATTATATATACAATTATTGATCTCGTAACAAAGATGTGTGTCAGTCCTGAACTGTACTTATAAGCGCGAAAACAAGAGCTTACTATGAAGATAAATTTATAATATAATTAGTCACGATTATATATAATTATTACACGACTAAATACATAAATAAATTTAATTTAATTTCGTGAGATATCTTTACTTTTGTCTTAAAAGCATATAATATATATATATATAATACAAAATATAACAAGATTTATTTTCCTCGCAAATAGAATTTTCAAGCTACAAAGCTAAACCATTTATTCAGTAATTTATTTATTTGTCCTTTTATTATCGTTATATTATCTAGGATCTTTTTAAGAGTTTACCCTTTATATTTCGAAAATCCTTTACCGGTTTATAGCTACCACATGGAGCGTCACAAAACATTTTACTCCCGCGAAACACGACAAGCTAGTCCGATATTGTCCTCGCACCACGAGATGAAAATATATGTATGTCAGCCATTATGCAGCAAAGTTCGTGTCTTTGGTGTCGAAAGGAATTCTCTCTTCTCGCAACAGCCGGAGCCCCGTCTGAAGGCTCATTGTCTTCGAATCGGGGTCATATCACGCTTCTTGTTCAGCCATATTCCGGCGGATTCCCTTTTTTTTACATTTTCGACTCGCGCATGTCATTTTTAAGTCTGCGAATAATCAAATTTATTAAAAGAAATAGCGCGCTGATCGCGCATGAAATTATTGCATTCGACGAAATTATATTTCGGCATGCATAGGATTATACATATTCATGCATTAATTGTTATACCAAGAGAAGATTCTTGAGAAAAATATCTGCAATTATATATTTATAATCGATGCGTGGAAATAAATAATTCTTGATATAAACGCGATGATTATAGAATAAGCGGACTCATCTCAACATATATTGATACGCGAGATATTTTCGCCAATCGACTGAGAGGTCTATGAATTATTAAAATATCTCCGTGGAGTTGTGAAAAAAATGCGGCCGGGAAAACGTGGAATCGTGACTCTTTGCCGAATGCGCGGAATTTCTAGCGGCACGAGCGTCGGACGGAATACAAAACTAAAAACGCCACGATGAAATTCCCATCGACGGTGGCTCTCTTGATTTCCGCACGCACGGACGGCAATTTAAAAATTCTTCGGATTTACGTGTCTAATTCTGCCGTGAGCTTCTACGTGAGGTCACCTTTATTGACGACATGTGACGATACATGGCCGTTTCCAGGCGCATGTAGAACAAATTCGCGAGAGACTGGCATCGGCTCTGTCCAGTGCAATTTGTACAGCTCCGCTCATACAAAAAAGAAAAAAACGGACGGAACTACTTAGAGCCCAGGGGAAAACTCTTTTATTGCCATCGAAAATTTTGAATCATATAAATTTTTAACAAACGTTATTATCTTTTTTGTATAATTATAGAATTGAAGAGATGCAACATATATTGGACATAAAATATTAATCGCGTAAAACAAAAAAATGTTTACAATATAATAATACATAGTAAGATTAATATAAATAATATATATTAATAATTATGTAATTTTTAAGTATGAAGTCTATTTTTTAGTATTTTTTAAGTCTATTCTTATTTCTGAATTGTATGTCGTGCTCCTATAACTTGCCATTGCCTTGCGGATAGTGTCGTTTTGGGAATTGTGTGCTATGCATAGATCGCAACTTAGATTATGTTCTGTGCAAGTCGACGTGACGTTTGCATGTATATACGTCCGAGCATAAATTTGTATTTTCAGTTCGGCCCATCTTCTATCTTGACAAGCGCGATGCTGATGCAATTGTTGCACGTCCAGCATGGCCCGATATCAGGTTATCAGGTGCAGGTGGCAACGTTGACGTGACGCAAGGGACAAGGGAGATCTACGTACAAAATCAGTAGAACACAAACAGCTGGTGTACCGTAGGGACAAAGCTACCAGATGGCAAAGAAGAAGGACGAAACTGAGTTATCGAACGAACGTACCTTTCGTACATTCCCTCGCAGAGTTTCGCGAATACGAGATCCTTCGATACTCGATATCGATCACTTATCACCGTCTTCACCCTCGTCCTTCAGTCTCACGAACCATTGAACATCCCATTTTCGCTTAACGCGTCGAATATTGTAACGAACTTTGGAGATTGGCATTATATTGGATTGTCATGTCTCTCTAATATATATAGATAAGAATATACTCCATTGTACAATATTTAGAAATTGACTTGTACGTTATATAGAAAGTCAATTGGTCAAACAATGTATTTAAAAAAAACTCATCAAAAAGTATCGTTTACTATTATCAATAAAAAAAAATAATTTAGTATTATTATCAATAAAAAAATAAAAAATGATAAAAAAAGATTATAATTTAAGCTATGCTAATTTCTCCATTATTCAATCTGAATAAAAATATTTCTAACTAGGATGACTCAAATAGACAAGAAATAAATAGACGAAATGCAACTGTTTTAATATTTGTAAATTCGGCTATATTTGTGAGATTTTTAATTGTTAAAAGTATTGTATTTGTAGTGTAGCGTATAAACCTCGATTTTGCAAGATTAATCGAAATTTATGCAATATGCAGCGTGTAACTTATATTTGGAAGCTTGCTAAAATTCCGGTAATAACCGACATTACTCCGGGCAGGCTTCCTCGAACTTTTTCCAGCGTAGGAAACTGTCGTTACCGGGGATATGAGATTTCGTAAGAGTTGTGAAACTTACGAAGCACAAGTTTGACATTCGGTGCGTTTTTTCTTCGTTAGATCAGTATGGTTCATTTTTTCGCTACACTGAGAAACGAAACGGTTTTTTTTCACCATCGAAAACGCACCGATACAAAATTCAAATATGAATTAAGTACAAGTGTTAATCTTTAGACGAACATCATCATATACATCGCAACCGTGGATTTAAAGATTCAAAACGTTTAAAGATTTAAAATTTTCAAAGATTTGAAATTATATTCAGCAAAAAAGCATCTGGAGGTCTTCATGATTGATTTTCTATCTACCACAATCTGGCGTATTCTCATACAAAATGCATCGCAGTGCATTTGCACGTCTCCCGCTAAATTGCAATTTTTATCCGCTCGTACAAGAGTTAAATATCCATTAATTTTTCCCGGGCTATTAAATAAAAGTTAAACGTCATTATTCAACATTGAATTTTAATATCGATAGGAATATAGTCTTGAAAAATTTTGCAGCGCTATAAATGCGATATCTCCTTGAAACGAAGCAGTGCATTTCTCCGGGGAGGTAAGTTGGTAGGTAAGACTTACCCGTCAGGAAGGACAATCGTCGCATTGCCGGAAACGGATGGTTTCCGCTTGTATCCAGCAGATCAAGCTGGTGAACCTCGCCTCTGATCCTGTAGAGTTTCCTGTGAAAATCCTCTATCGTCGGCGTGTAGCTCTCCTCGAATTTGTTGAACAGAAATCTGAAACGTAAATAGCGGAGATTTTAACCGCGTAGGCGTTTCATTATTTCGAAAAAGAAAGAGAAAATTCCTACATTTTATTAAATCTCTTTTCTCTCTCTATTATACAATAATTATCTTTTAAATTTTAAATTTAAACTCGCGTCTGTTAGTAAAACAGTGTTTCATAATTTCATAATATTCTCTGTATCTTGACTGTTGAAATTAAAATGCTTTTCTCTTCGTTTAATTAAATACATAAACGTATTTGAGAAGCTGATGTAAATCCAACAGTAAACGAGAAATTAATTGTAATAGAGTATTTAAAAAGTCACGTTCGCGGACAAAAGGATAAGCGTCTGTCTTGCTTTTTCCAACTCGTTTAGACTCGTTAACGGTTCCTATATATGTCCATGTGAACGATAAATGCGCTTAGCATTTAAGAGCTGCATAATTGCGATCAATTCTGGATAGTCGGCATAACTTCAAGCTGGCGAAACTGCAAATTTTCGACATTTCGCGGAGCCTCGGCATTCCTAGACGCAGAATATCGAACGGCGATTTTATCGTTTTCATAATAATTCTCCACTACTCTCTCTAATTTTGTCTCTCGATGAAAAAAAAAATATGATTAGCTAACAATTTTAACAGGCCGATTCAGTTCAAAAGAATTACGCTTTGTTCCTAGGAACGCAGCCTCAGTTTTTCGATATCCTATCGCGCGGTGACAGCGGTCATGTAACAACAGCAAACACAATAACGCGGCACGTAGCGGTGAGTCGGCAGCACGGTTCAAAGATTAATTGAATCACATTGTTTCGTGCTATTAGCAATCGATCTGCGAATGGGAGCACGACTAACAGAATTTAGAAGATTGAACGCACGAAATGTGTAGAATAGTAGTGAAATTATAAAATTCGTGCAACGTAAACGAGCATCAGAAATCGATCAATTATTCTAATGGAAAATATTGGAAACGCAAACAACTAAAGATAAATGAATAAAATATTTTCACGTAATATCGAATGTACAGAGGATATTTATAAAAATATCGAAGACGCGAGGATGAATAAAGGTGGAAAATTATCGTTTCGAACTTGAACGTCCGCTTGTTAATTTTGCGCGTTTACCGTGCTACAATGGCGGTCTTTCCAACACGGGCACTACCGAGCATAACGAGGCGGTAGCAGTTACGCGGTGGCGGCTTGCAAGCGTCTTCCTGCGACGAGGTGGATGCGGGACTCGGGCTGACGGGCATAGCGAGCATTCCATCCTCCGGGCCTGAGGGACCCTGACCCTCCACCAGCTCCGGTTCCGCTTTCGCTCCTCGACGACCGCGAGCGTTGATCCGATGTTCGGCGGGCTCGTCGGCTGCACTTCTGCCTTTGCAGAGCCTCTGCACGCAGCACAGAAGTCGGCCGCACGCCTCCAGCTGTGGAGAAAATGGAAATTATACCTTCTGTAAATATGGTATTAATCCTTAATCCCCCTTACTCTTCGCTCTTGGGACACCGTGTGTATGTATGTGTATGTATTGTGTTGAATTTCAAAGTTATTGCATTTAATTAAATGAGACGAGAACAACCCCCATTTCATGTAATAGAGCGTTACGTGAAAAATAATAATTATAGTAGCATTTTATTTTTCCTAAAAGCTTTCCTATGAACTTTTAAAGGTACATTTTTAGATTGAAATATTTTTTCCTTTGTTTTGTAAAAACATAAAATCAACAACTAACCATAATATCAAAAAAAATCTCAACGTTCTCGCATAATTTAATTAACTGAAATGAGCCGGAAACAACCTGCATTTCATGTAATAGAGCGTTACGTAAAAAATATTGTATAGCATTTTATATTCCCTAAATGAACTTTTAAAGATACATTTTTAGATTAAAATATCTTTTTTTGTTTTGTAAAAACACAAATTCAACAACTAACAATAACGATAAAAAATATTTCAATCGAAAGAGAGTTAGTTGTTTATATTTTTTATTGTTTATATTTTTCTGGTTTTCAATATAAATGTTGATTTCAATATAAATTTCCGATTGTTTACGTTACATATAAAACACTAATAATGTACAAATCTCGCGTTTAATGCAAGACTACAAACAATCTTCGATCAAATTTTGAAAAATTTATTGAATTTTAAAAATTGTTTGTAAACTTAATAAAATATTACATAATTCTTTGCATACAATGTGACCAATAATGTTGTCTCTAATAGTCTCAAGCTTGGTTTTCTTTCAATAGAAGAAAAAGAACAATCCATGTCCAGACAGCAGACGATATCTTATCCCGAAGGAATTGCGAAGCGTAGAAAGAAGAGAATATTCGAGATCCAAGCATGAATGCATGGGGCACGAACGATTGGATTTTCTTGGATTGATTCGTGGCAGAAGACTTTGGCACAAGTACTTTTATTAAAGTGCCGAGGGAAAATAAAATGCAGGGCTAGCACTCCAGATACATTTTAGAATCTCACGCGAGTCTCCTCTTGAATATTTTTCTTGCTTTCTGCTGATGTTAGAATATCCGAAAATTGTTGCTACAATAATAATATTGAGAAAAAAAATATTTTCTTTTCCGAGATAAAAAAAAATATGAAACAGTTGTAAAGTGTGACGTGTATTTTCATTTTTGCCTAATATGCTTCCATAATTAAACAATCTCTAATAAATCATTGCTGAATGTTGCCCTTGGTGGACATTACATATTTTACAAAGTTTAATGAGAATGCTTATTATACTTGCGAAACAGTTTAGAGGGAATTTGTTAAATAAACGAGGAATTTTGTGCAGTAGTGTAGATGCCATGAGAATAGGAGAGGGTCCCTTACATTCAGGAATATTTTAAGATAAATTTGAAATACCTGACACACCTTGTGTACTCATGCATGTTGTAGGAAACAAAAATAAGTACCGCATAATTCACATAATTCAAAGATATTCGTATATCTCTTTTACAAAAATTGTTATGAAGTATAAAGATAAGTGTAAAAAATATTTTTATCTATATTTTTTTAATATATATATATATATATATAATTTAGAAGAAATAAATTCTGCTAAAATTTTATTTTTTGAAACTTATACAATTTTTTTAAAAAACGTTAAATCTTTAAACACTTATTACAAAAATAATATTAGAATTTTATTTTTATTACATAAAAATTTCATATTTTAAATGCTAATATCGAAAGAGAAGCTTCGCACTTAAATAGCAAGGATTCCCTACGATAACATTCTTCCTCGTGTTCGTCTTAGAAAAGTTTATTCTTGCGACTTGGATATTCGCAAACGCGACTCAGTTGCAGAAACTGGCAGGATAATAGAACGCGTTATACCTTTACCATAACGCTGCGCATTTCTAACTTGGATGCCTTGAATAGAGGACTAATGATTGCAACGAAGCAAGTTCTATGAATATTACTTAACACCGCTTTACGCACGATAGTTAGAGAAGATATATTAAAAGAGACAAAGACAGTATTATTTTATGAATAATATAGCGACGTTACTCGAGTCATTTTATTTAATTGTACGATTTCTCTTTAAGAGAGAAAGAGAAAATAACTTTACATTTTTATTAAAAACTCCAAATTTATTTTAGTGCCATTAAACTTACAAATATAAAAAGCATTGCATCGATTCAAGCATAGTATTATTTATTCACAAATAATTATTTACCATTAATTTCTAATATCATAAATATCTTCGACTTCTTTTGATTTGACAAACTACTACTTGTAAAAATTTATTATCAATTATACGTCAAATATAAATTAATTCGAGTTTTCCTTAAAAATTGAATAAATAGAAGAAAATTGTAGCGCGATACGGATTGTTGATCGAGGATCCCCATGGGCACGTTTCTTTGAAAAATACATGAAGTAAACTTGATACTTGTCGTCGTTGCTCGGCAAATTTACCTCTGGACAAAGCAGCATGCCGCTTCACGTACTTCAATTTCGAGACGATACGCAGGAGGTGAAGCTTTATAAATATTTAAATAGGACACCTGATGCCCGTCGCGCTCAGGGTGTGGGTAGCAATTATTAAAGCTCCCATTAAAACACGTCGCACGTATATTATTTTCTCCTTTTTTACCTTTTTCTTCAAGAATGTGGTAACCAATTTTAAATGTAATTGAACGCGTTTCATCTTCGCTTCGTATACTCGACGATAATTATAGTACGATTCACTCCGACACGTTTATTGTAGTTTAACAAACGGCGACGTAAATCGCGCCGTGAGTAGAAAAGAATTTCGTTTTGTCCTTATTTTGAACAACGTTCGGGAGCCCATTTGTGCAGTATTTCGGTCGTTAACGCGTCGTTGAGCTCTTAAACCTCCGAGCAAGATCGCAATTACTGACCGCAATTGTTTCAGTGTCGAAGGCTATTATTATACGTCGAAGTCGGTTTATTTCTTTTCTATGTCGGAGAAATGAGAAGTTAAATTTCTCCTTTTTCGCCATATTAACTGTAAACGTATGAAAAACGAAATACGGGAAAGCATATGTATATCAGCTGGATCGTTTCTAATGTCATATTTTATCTTCGTGCAAGCGTTGCGAGTGTTATTCGTCTCGCGATACGTCTCAGGAGTATCGACATTTTCTTCCATTCGCGTATCTTTTCCCGTCGCGCAAATATCCCTCGAAATAAAAGTCGAACGTGTCCCTGTTACTATTTTTAGGATTTATAAACGCTTTCAACGAAATCGGTTGACTTTAATCTCGTATCTACTACAGCTTTATTTCCTCTTCTCGAATTAGAGATCTAACATGTAAGAGAGCAAGATTTATATTTTCTCTTCTGGAGTACTTTTGTAGGAGAAATTCTAGAAAAAGGAGCAATTTTTAAACTAAAGTAAGACTAAATCAAAGAATTAAGAATTTTTATCATTTCTTTTTTTAATAAACAAACCACTTTTCGCAAAGCAAGCATTCTTAATATAATTTCATAAAAGAACATGGAGAAAAATATATTTCTATTAATTTTCTTCCTTTGTAAAGGCAAATGGTAGAAGTTAAATTAACTGGCGTTTGATATGTTGAGATATTTCGTGAATATCAAGATTTCGTGAATATCAAGATTTCGTGATTAACAAGATAATAAGCATCGATTTTTGTTTCAATTTCGAAGACAAGGACGACTCCTGAACGGAATAATAACGATCTGCTTACAGTCTAGCTATGAATACTCTGTACAAATGGTAATAGGCAGCCCTTGATGATAGGAGGGAAACTAGATTAAACTACAGAGACTGTGTAAATGCAGATGTTAGAGCTCGTCACTATTTCTTATCTATCCGACTTCCCCGGAGAAGTCACGGATAATTGCTTCGACCGAAAATATACGGAGATTCGAGCTATTTAATCACACAATGCATCTCTCATATATTTTTAGCAGTGACATTAGAAATTTACAAGCTAAAAAGTCTGCAGTGAGGCAAGCTAATACATACAAATTTCTATGATATGCCTTTACTTTAAAAGAGATTAAATTAAAGATAACGGGACGTTGTTAGTTGTAGATCTTAATCTCTACTAAACGATTGCATTAAAAAAAAGTGGATTAATGAGATTCTACGTTCCCAAAGAATTCGTTATGTTCGCGAAGTTTAAACTCTCTGTCTCGTTACATTATTCTGTATCGTTCTAGTCACGATATAACATAATGTGAAAAGAATGAGCGACAAATATCTATACCTTAGATATGTGTGTGTGTGTGTGTGCTATCGATTTTACGATTACGTTCCACAACAAGGCTCTTATCACATGAGAGTTTGAGAAACATTGATCTCTTAACGCCAGCGATCCGTCGCACAGGTTCTGATATAAGCGAACAACAAGGCATATCGATCGTGTCTTGGATAATGTCGGCAACATAGACAATCGGATTATCATAGACGTTTGTTCGACCATTCTCAACGTGCGATATCGAACAAAGTTCCAAGTGTATCGTAGAACGTTATCCTCTTAATGCTACGTAGCTTAATCGCACTAAGCGGATTCGACTGTCAACGCACGTTAAACATCCGCGTGCGTGTTTAACGATTCAGTGATATAATATTTTCTGGGCAAGCGGGATTGGTCGAAGTAGTGGCCGATATTTGCACAGGTGTTTGTAGCTTAACGAAACTTACATAATATACCGTCATTATGCGATCGACAGTTCTAAAAGCGATCGATTACGCGATATAATGTTTTGTTTACCATTAGTAATATACATAGTACACGATAAATTCTGAACGGAAATTCTCTCTCTCTCTCTCTCCCTCTCTCTCTCTTTCTGCTCTATTTATTATGTATCTATAATAGTTTACTTGCATTTATAAAGCACTGAATCATCTGTATACATGATGCATTTTGCGAGATATATCATCTAGTAATATTTCATATGTAACTACTGTATATTTTATTT